ACTTACATTGTTATTATCAGAAATATTATTATTATTATTATTATTAATACTATTACTATTACCTTTTTATTATCATCATTATTATTATTATTATCATTATTATTATTTTTATTATTATATTATTTTTATTATCATTATTTATAGTTATTGTTATTATCATCATTATTATTATTATTATCATTATCATTATTACTATTGTCATTATGATTATTATCATCATCATCATCATTATTGCCATTATCATTATCATCACTATTATCATAATTTGTTTATTTTGTTTTTATTTTCGTTTTCCTTTTTACCTTTTATTTTTTTTCTCTTTTTCAACATTCACTTGAATGCGTGTGAGCAAAAGACAAGCATCTTCAAGCAAGCAAGTGTCTTCTCCACATCTTATATTTTTCTTACTTTCTTTTCCTTGTTCGTGAGCTTAAAATATGATTTGAATTCTCTTTCTGAAATGATATGACGGAAAATCATTAATGGTGATCTTTTCTTTTTGTCTCTTCATGAATATAATTTAGATCAATTATTCACCTGTCCTTTGTATTGGCCGGTGAAAAATTATGGCAGTCATAAATGGTTTGTGTAATGAGACTAGGTTACGGCGTGACATGAGCTCGACTCCCATGAATTATATCACTCTGATAACAGGAAATTAAATGAAGGTATTTGAACGCAGTAAGTTCTGACAGGTTAGGCTTGCGCAAGTAAAATTTATTGAAAGGGTTATCTGACTCACTAAAACTTTTGGGAACCAGGCTGCGCAGTGGAACGCTTTGGTTATGGGTGACGTGGTTTAAGAAATCTGAGAAAAAAGAGAAAGTTATCGAAATGCGTTAAGAAATTTAAAAAATAAGAGAAAGTATCGCTATCTATCGAAATGCGTTAAGAATGGTGAATTTAGAAGTCGTATTGGAGGTAAGTTGAAAATCCAAAAACGTGATTGATATTTACCAAAATATCATTGGGAAGATTATATGATGTGATATGATGAAGTATGAAGGGGAAGCTGTTCTTCAATAATCAGCGCAAGGATGAGCTCCATATATTGAGAAAGTCGATGCTGTAGTATTATTCTGCTGATTATATAAGTGTGTTAATTATGCATAGAGAACTATCGGTTTTTTATTGTATTATACATCATGCGTATGAAATATTCACAGCTTGCAAACACACATACTAGCCCACACTTGGATACATCGACAGGCACAAAAACACAAACATACACACATACGCATGGACATTCAAACATGGATAGGTAGAATGATAGACAGCTACAAAGCTAGATAATTTAGTACTATGATATATATATATATATATATATATATATATATATATATATATATATATATATATATATATATATATATATATATATATGTATATACTATAGGTTGATCGACAGATAGACAGATAGATAGATAGATAGATAGATAGATAGTTAGACAGAAAGATAGATAGACAGACAGACGGGCAGAGAGATAAACAGATATATAGATCGACAGACAGAGAGACGCATGAATACACACATACATGAATGCATACACAGATAGACAGAAAGGTAAACAGATAGATACAGCGATATAATGTATATAACAAAAAAGTAATCGACATTGAATTTTAATGAAAGGACGAGAATGCCATGATGTATTCTCGCTTCACTAGCAACGAAAAGTAAGAGAGAGAGAGAGGAGAGAGAAAGAGAGAAAGAGAGGAGAGGAGAGAGAGGGAGAGGAGAGGGAGAGGGGAGGAGAGGGAGAGGGAGAGGAGAGGAGAGGAGAGGGAGGGAGAGGGAGAGGGAGAGGGAGAGGAGAGAGAGAGAGAGAGAGAGAGAGAGAGAGAGAGAGAGAGAGAGAGAGAGAGAGAGAGAGAGAGAGAGAGAGAGAGAGAGAGAGAGAGAGAGAGAGAGAGTGAACATCTGGAATC